CGTCTCTTTTTCGTTTCTGGGTATTCTGCAAATCCGTCGATTTCTCTTCTTAATTCGAATCTCAAGCAAAACCAAAATTCCGATTAACACGCGAACGCCAAGTCTGGAAATTTCTTTCCGGGTAAAACAAACTTCTTCTCCTTTGAATTTTTGGGGGTTTTCAGATTTTGAAATCAGGGGAAAAAGATCGAGAATCATCGAATTCCGAAATTGGTTTTTTTCGGGTCGGATTCTCCGGGTCGGTGATTTATCTTGTTATCAGGAGGCATCGTCTAACGAATCTAGCTTTGCTTTTTTTTTTGGGGGGAAATTGATCTCGAAAGGTCCAGTTTTTGGGGAAGCCCTTTTGTCTGTTTTGTTTTCTTTGAATTGATTGTTTGAAATTGCTTCAAAGGGCAAAGATAATGTTGAGATTTATGATTTCATTGGCGTTTGCATAGATTTCTGCTTAATCCTGGTTTAAATTAAACATTTTTGCTTGCACGATCTTTGTTTAGCTGTAATAGGTTAGATTCGTTGATTCATGTTTTATTTGGTTTCAGCATTTATAGACTCTGTGTGTTTAGAGTCACGTTTGATTCTTGTTGTTCTAGACTTCTAGTTAGATCCATTTTCATGTTTCTCTGTATATAGTTAGATTGTTTTTTTTTTTTTTTAATATTGGAATTTACTCTTTTGATGTTTGATTGTCCTGTGATTGATTACTGTTAACTGTTAAAGTCATTGGAATGTGCAAAGGTCTAAGCTTCTTAGCATTGTTCATAGCTTGAGACCTATTGCTTTGGTACCTATCTGAAAGTGCATTTATTGTTTTTGCTCCAAATGTTGTTTTTTCTTTTGAATTATTGTTTTTATATTCTTTTGTTCCTTAAGAAGCTAACAGATCCCAGAAATAAAGTTAAAAAGACTTGATCAAGTTAACTAAGTATCTATACTCCTTAATCTACTACTTTTTCTCATTTTGTTTCAAGTTTATCTGATTTGTGTTAAATTTGACATGTGAATCATATAAGCTTATATTGGTCATGATTCCTTATTCCTCTTGCAGGATAACAAGTAGATCTTGAAGTAGTAAATCAGCTGACTACAAGTGAAAACAAAAGGGCAATTTCATTTTGTTGAATAAGGGAGTTTGGACTCGCCATGGCTCCTGGAGGCAGTGCTTTGAAAGAAGTTCTGGAATCTAATTCGACGGGAATGGATTACGAGGTTAAAACGACAAAAGTTGAAGTTAATAATAACAAACCTGCAAAACCAGGTAGTGCAGGAATTGGAAAATATGGGATGCATTCGAACAATGGTGTTTACGAGCTTCTTGAGTGTCCTGTGTGTACAAATTTAATGTACCCTCCAATTCATCAGGTTAGAAAAACATGTGAGCTTTAAAAGTTTTGTAATTGCAATGTTCATGTTCTTAACGTTGTTCATTTCTACAGTGCCCAAATGGTCATACTTTATGTTCAAACTGCAAAGTGAGAGTGCAGAACACGTGCCCTACATGTCGCTACGAGCTTGGTAACATTAGATGTTTAGCTCTTGAGAAAGTTGCAGAGTCCTTGGAAGTTCCATGCCGGTACCAAAATTTGGGGTGTCATGACATTTTCCCTTACTACAGCAAGCTTAAGCACGAGCAGCATTGCAGGTTTAGGCCTTACACTTGCCCTTATGCTGGCTCTGAGTGTTCGGTTACAGGTGATATCCCCACACTAGTTGTTCATCTCAAAGATGACCATAAAGTCGATATGCATGACGGGTGCACCTTCAACCACCGTTATGTGAAATCCAATCCACATGAAGTTGAAAATGCTACATGGATGCTTACGGTAAAGTTTTCCTCTTTTCTCAAAGATCTCGAATTTGCTTCTCTCTTATTATCACATGAGTCAGCTACACATTTCATCTTCTTTCGCTCTCTTTATTAGCAAACCTGAAAAGTTGCGGGCTTTAGCTCCTCTTCAAATAGTCAGATAGAATCTTCAGTAGGATTTGTTGGAACCTTGAGCTTATCCAGTTTTAATTTTCCCAAGTTTCTGCTAAAACTTTTGGATCTGGTCAATTTGTTGCCATAAGAGGAGCTTAGGTTCACATTTCCTGCATCATTAACACCTTTTAGGCTGCTTTATAGTCCTTTATCACCATATGTATCTTTGCCCTCTGTCTGAGTCCAATTCTTTCCCAGTTTACTTTTGATTCTAGTGGCTCATTAAGTACCATCTGATAGGGTTTCTCGGTCTCATTTTCACTGTAGTCTTCCAATATATGTTGCCTTACACTTTAACTTGCACCTCTGTTTCTTTAATTTTGTTTTTAAATTGGGTTCCAGGTGTTCAACTGTTTTGGGAGACAGTTCTGCTTACATTTTGAGGCTTTCCAGCTGGGAATGGCTCCAGTGTACATGGCGTTTCTTCGTTTCATGGGAGATGAAAACGAGGCGAAGAAGTTCAGTTACAGCCTGGAAGTAGGAGCACACGGGCGTAAACTAACATGGCAAGGGATCCCCAGAAGCATCCGTGACAGTCACAGGAAAGTCCGGGACAGTCAAGATGGTCTCATCATCCCAAGAAACCTCGCGCTCTACTTCTCTGGAGGTGATAGGCAAGAACTCAAGTTGAGAGTGACCGGTCGAATCTGGAAAGAGGAGTAGAACGAAAACGAAGAAAGAAAAGAACTGATTGAAAAATGATGTACATAAGAAAGCCTCATGGAGAACTAATGATCATGGAAGATTTGAAGTTTGCTTTCTGGTTTTAGTATGTTATAGTGGAGTCTTCTCCAATGGG